TGCCCCGCTAGTAGTACCCGACTTGCCACTCGGTTTTGCCTCTTTTTTTATCTTGTGATTTTGCCTGCAGGAGTGCGATGAAGCGGAGAGAACCAAACACCGGTATTCCCTGGACTGTCGGCTGCGAGGCAGAGACACCTTTACTCCTAGAAGCACATCGCCTCACTCTAGATATAGAGAGGTCCCTGCAGTGTAGAAACTGCAAACCAAACTGCCCGATCAATGGGCCACGTCATAGTTGGGAGTTCATGCGGTGCGAGTCCGAGGCGACGGAAATCCTAGGGGTAGACGCCGAGCTCAAAGTCAACTTTGAGTGCGTCAATTGCCACTCGATACACCTTGGGGTGCCTTTGCCTGCGAAGGGGTTGGGTTATGAAGTCCAATCGTGGTCGATGGCGGATGAGGTTGTGCGTGGGACTTTTGATAGTATCTCCAGTTGGCTTCGGGTACGTGCAGGGCCGTCAAGCGCAACACGTGGTGGACGGCGGCAGAGACAGCCTGCGCCGCCGGAGAAGGCCGCGGCGCCTGGGCCGTCAAGCGCAACACGTGGTCGACGGCAGCAGAGGCACACCAGGAAACCTGCCAGATTTGCGAACGCGCATGTGGGGTCCAGTGATGACAGCGAGGTTCCCGAGAGCAGGGAATCAGCTGACTCAAATAGTAGTAGCGACGATGGGAGCGAGCCTTGAGCCTTGGTTGGGAGGAGCTTTTCTGCGATGGCTGGGGCTGTGGGAGAGTGGGCGGGTGGTTGGGTGCGTGGGCCGCCGGACGCGAAACGAGGGCAACGGCTGGCATGCGATGGAAGCTGTAGTCGGGGTGGGGTTTTTTCAACAATGAACGTAAGAGGGTGAGTGACGTCGTCCTTGTGTGTGGTGTTAGCAACGTGTCGTGTTTGAATATAATGTGAGCCATAGAATCGCTTTGCATTTATGTCATTTCTGACTTACGATGGTTTTATTGTTGCTGCCAAGCGGGGTGGCGGCGATTCGGGGGAGGCGCGGGTATAGTACAGAGGGAAACCACCT